AAAAGGAACATGAGTTTAACTTGTTTTTTTTTTTTTTGTTTTGGTTTTGAGTGTTTTAAGTATAATTTTCTTCTTAAATTATATAAATGGTGTTTTTTTGTTGTATGATTTTGTGTTTTTAATTTAGTGATTTGTTTGCACTTGTAAGTTCTGTATGAACAAAATGTGAATAACCACATACCTTCCCATCTTGTAATTAATTTCAAGATCTTTGTGCGGAGCGAAGGAAGGAGATTCTCAGTTGGCGATTGATTTTGTGACGGATAGATGTACACTTTTAGGATGACAAACCAATGTCATTTATAGCTCGGTCATATTTTTCAAGAGTGTGCACTTTTAGGATTATACAATCGCTTTGTTGATCAGAATGTGTTACTAATTGATGGATAGATATACATTTAAAAAAAAAAAAAAACAAATTGATGTCATTTAATTTGCATTTTTAGGATTATACAATCGTTTTTTGGTGATAAGAATGCGTAACTAATTGCTAGTGTTCGACTCTTTGTGATAAGGGATTCTCTTGTTATTGTTTTGTATACAGTTGATTTTCTAGAGGAAAATCACAATTTTCAATAACTATTTTTTAAGGAGTGACATATCAAATTGTGATTTGCCCTCACTTCCATAAATTGCTCCTTATGCTTGAAAAGTGAGGGGCTTCTCAGTTCTCTTTTTAACCAAGTTATTTTTTAAGGAAATATAAACAAATAAAACTTATTAGAAATTTTAAAATCTAAAAATTCGAGCTCAAGAAGACTATGACGGCAAAAAAAGAACATTAAATTAGACCATCTTCAATGGTGGGCTAAATGCTAAATTACCCCCCAAAATTCCTCCCCAAACCATCTCCAACCTATGCTAAAACATTGGGCTAAATGTCAAATGTTAAAGCTGGGCCAAATACCCCACCAGATTTCCACCCCCCCCCCCCCACGCGACTGAACTCGCTGGCCATTGGGCCAGTCTCGACCCGTTCACGCTCCAACGCACTGATAGGAGCATATTTATGCAATTTAGTTAGCTTGTTTTCTTACATTTACACAGCTAATTTCTACTTGTTAGAGTGTTTTAAGCTATTTTCGTGTGTTTTTAGGTTCAATTGACAAAGTTGGCAAAAAAGTGCAATTTGGAGCATTTTAGAGCATTTTTGGGCTTGGAATGGATTGCACATGCATGGAACAAGGTGGATAGACGAATTTGAAGATCAAGAGAGGCTAGGAATGTGATTAACATCTAGAAGAATTAAATTGAAGACTTGGAAGATAAGGAATCAGCTACAAAGAAGGAATATTATCTAAATTTCCTTATCTTATCCAAACCTTATCCAACCTTATCTTATCTTATCCTATCCTAATCTTTTCCTACATTAATTCCAACTGCAAAAAGGACTCCTTTTCACATTAAATCACCTAAATATCATGTTCTAGAAGCCCTATTTTCGTGCCCTAAGTTTATGCTACATGTAACTCTTCTAGAAGTTCTAGAATCTGCCACAAGGACCATTCCTTGTCCTCCTTGGAATCTGATTGAAAGTGTCCTTGTTCTTTGGTGATTTGGAGTCCTAATTCCTCTCCTTTTCAGCCCAATTTCGTGCCTTCCCTTCACCTTATAAATACATAATGCCGCAACACTCATAAATCACTACCCTCTACCACAAATTCACACCACACCATCCACCACACTTGGAGCCGTGCTTGCCATTCAAAACATTGGATTGTTGGAGCGTTTCTAGGTGTATTCTTCTTTGTTTTCAATGTTTAAATTTAATTATCTTTGTTTTGCGAACATGAGGAACTAAATTCGTTTTAGTTAGAGATGAATTAAAAGCCATGAACATATATGTGATATGAATTGATTTCATCCAATTATTGTTTCATAAATCATGAATGCGATTACTTATCTGTTTGATTGATAACTTATTCTTTTATGTTGATTAAGGAGGCCTACTTAGTTTGCATGCATGAATTTGATGCTAGAATATAAGGGAGTTTCACGTAATAGTTATTTACTTATATTCACAAGTAGTGGAAGTCACTAGTTATGATTGTGTTAAGTGAATCCTTGGCAGGAGTCTCATGCGTTTCATAGTGATGAATGTCTTGTCAATGCTTATAATTTTCATAGAACTTAATGACTTTTGATATGTATCTCTATCATGCGTTTCATATAGGGAACTTGAGAAAGATAATTTAGTTGTAATGCGTATTCATTCAATTCAATGAAATAAGGAAAATCTGATGGTTGGTTGTGCGATGCGATTAACTTAGGGCATTGTCATTCATGGTTTAAAGGAATAATAACTGGAAATCGATTTGTATGTATATGGGTCATGTGTGGAGATGAACCCTCTAGCTAGCCATTCATCCATATTTCACCCAGTTTCGTCCAAGTTGTTTAAAAGTCTTTAATCTGCTTGTCTTTACTTTAATTTCGTCCAAAATCCAATCCCCCTTTACTTGGTTGTGTCTTTTAGTTAGAATTCATCCAAACTTTTGTTTTTAAGTGTTTTGAGTCAAGTTAAAAGTAATTGTCGTCCAAATCATCCCTTAGTGTCTAGTTTGAGTCTATTTGATTATTTGTGCTGTTTTGAGTTGTTAGAGTCTAGTTTTCTGTCTTTGAGTCTAGTTTAATGTTTTAGAGTTTAATTTGAGTAGATTAGCATCCCTTCTAATCCCCCGCCTAGAACGATCTCTACTTACACATATTACAATCATAGGGTTTTAATTTGAGTGTTAGAATATTTCACATCACGCGCCCCACGCGGAGCACCTGCAATTCATTCCCGACAGGGGTGGGCCCCGCTGACAGGGGTTTGTCGGCCACCCAATGGCTACATTTTCAATCTGATGGCTAATTTTCCCGGACCGTTGGTTGATCCAACGGTCCAGATTCAAATTTGATTTTTTTTAATATGTTATTTTAAAATACATTGAATCCAACGGCTGAGATCGAATATAATCAAATCTAATGGTAAAAAAAAAGATCTAACGACCCAAATTTAAATCCAACGGCTAAAATAATTTAAAAAATTATTTAACTCAAAATTCATCCAAAAAATCTATAAATACCTATGTATTTGTTCAAACATCCACACAAAACTCAAATTTCTCTTACAATTCTTCCAATTTATCTTTCTACCATTTCTTTCCATTTCCAAATTGTTCAACATGGCAAGAGAGCATATTAGAGGTCGTAATTGGACATGTGAGGAAGATGTTGCTCTATGCTTGGCATGAGTTTCTGTTAGCGAAGATGGTGCAGTTGGCACAAATCAAAATAAGAAGGTTTTGTGGGATAAAATCATTGCAAAATTTCAAGAAAACTGCAATGGCAGTGGGCGAGATGGTGGTGGTGTTTATGATCGGTGGAAGGCTACCAACAAAGCATGCACTTTATGGAAGGGAAGCTTGGAGAAAGCCGTTGGCATGGCTAGTGGGAGGAGTGCCACAGAAATTGTGAGTTTTGTTCTTGATATTTTATTTGTCATGTACATGATATTATGTTGCAACTAATTATTTTTATGTATTTTTTGCATAGGGTGACAAAGCAATGTAAATTTACAAGACAAGAGTAACACCAAAAAATAAAGTTTTTAAGTTGCAACATGCTTGGGACGTCCTCAAGGATTATCCGAGGTGGAGAACCGATATGGACCAACAATGGGGAAGATTATTTCAACGTGAAGCTGCACAGACAAATGCCGTCGATGAAATGACCCCATCTCCTTCTTTTGCAAGGCACCTGGGAAGAGATAAGCAAAAGGAAGCAAAGAGAAAAGGGAAGTCCCAAGATCCGATGAGTGGACACTTTGATACTGGAATTACAAAATTGAACGAAACTCATAGCGCTATCCAAGAAGAAGCGGCCCGAATGCGTTTGCAAAGAAGGAAATCTCGGATAGGGAGGAATATAGGTTTGAAATTGAATTCATGATGAATGACCTCAGAAAATACACTCCAGAGAGGAAGAAGTTCTTACGTGGTAAGCAAAAGGAAATTATGCGAAAGTCTGTCTCAAGGAGTATGTTTCAAGATGATGAATTCTCTTAACCCTATATCCCAACATTTCAACGAAGTCCATCACCAAGTGAAGATGGTGGATATGATTGTTAAGTTTATGTAGTGTATGAATTTTGTGCTTTATTAATTAAGTTTATTAATTATCGTTTATATTAAGTTTATGTAGTTTATTAATTATGTTGTTTATGAATTATCGGTTGTATTAAGTTTATGTGGTTTATGTACTTTATTAAATTTATGTCTTATTAATTATCCAATAATTTATGTCTTATTATTCCACACTTTGATGTAGAATAGATGCCTTCAATAATTCAACCTCCATTTAATAATTTATCCAACGTATTAGACAAAATACTTTGCATAAGAAGACATTTAAATTTATTGCTAGAAAATAACAACATAGTACACTTAAAATTATTACATAAATGCTTAACCAGCATCATCAACATTCACCTTCTAGGCGCCATACATGCTCAACCAAATCTTTGCGGAGTGTGTCATGACATTAAGGAGCTTGAATTCTATTTAAACGTCTCATATACTCACTCAAGGTGACCCTATCCTGTAGGGTCTCATATGTGGTTGGAGCGAGATATTCAACATCTCTTGCAATAGCTCTCGCATGTGTTGGTTGGTCATCATCCACATCTTCGTCTGAATCTTCTTCAATTTCGATATACTCATATTCCACAATCATGTTGTGCAAAATTATGCACGTCGTCATGATTGAATGGAGGTCTTCGGACTGCCAAAATCATGCAGGCCCTCTAACAATGGCTCATCGAGCTTGTAAGATCCCGAACGCTCTCTCCACATCCTTCTTGTAAGACTCTTGCCTCTGTGAAAACAATTTCTTCTTTGCACTATCGGGATGAGAAAAACTTTTGACAAAGGTAGACCAACTAGGATAAATACATCAGTTAGGCAGTAACCTAGCTCATACCTATTACCATTTACCTTGTACCGAAATTCTAGTGTTTATCCATTAACAACATGATCGAACAAAGGAGAAGACCAAAGAATGTTGATATCGTTGTTTGATCCAGGAGCGCCGAAGAAAGCATGCCAAATCCATGTGTCGTAAGACACCACAGCCTTGAGCACGATGGTTGGCTTGTCATGATGGCCTTTGAATTGGCCAGCCCAAGCAGTAAGATAATTCTTCCACTCCCAATGCATACAATCGAGACTTCCTATCATGCCAGGGAAGCCTCTTTTGTCCGCCTTACGTAGAAGCATCTTCAAGTCTTCACGATTTGGGTTGCGGAGGTATGTGGCTCCATATATGCCTTCAATTGCCTTACAAAAGCGCTTTAGGTTCTCAATAGCAGTACTTTCTACAAGTCGGCAATACTCGTCAGTTGAGTATGCAGAGCACCCATTAGCTAGCATGCAAAAAGCAGATGTGAGTTTCTGATGAGGTGATAGACCTTGTCGGCCTGCGGCATCTAGCCTCATTGCAAAGTAGTAGTCATGATTAACAACTGCATTCAAGATGCTTTCAAAAAGCTCTCTCCTCATCCAAAACCGCCTCCGAAAATCATGAGCAGGAAATCTCAGACGCTCGATAAAATAATCTTTCATCATTCGGTCATGACACTCTTCTCTATCATGCTGCACATATGAACGCCCTGTGACAAAACCATGATGGCTAGATTCGTCATGGTGCTCAAATTGCATAAACTAGTTGATAAGTTCAACTTCGGCGTAGAACAATTTTGCATCCTCAATCTCGATCCTTGCTTGGTATTGTGCCATCTGCATTGTCATGCTACGCCTTCTTCTATCACCCATTGATGAGATCTTGAGGATTATTTGGAAACAAAAACTCTTTGAAAGTTGAAATATTGGTGAATATAAAGGATGATTGAAGGTTGAAGGGTTGTGTGATCAACAAATATTGGACATATGTTTATATAGAGGATGATTGATGAAAGTTGAACGGTTGGTGAAAGTTGAAAGTTTGGTGTTGAACGGTTGGTGAATTGAAAATTTGGTGTTGAAAGGTTGGTGAATTGAAAGTTAGCCGATGATTGAAAGATTGGTAAAAGTTGAAGGCTTGCTTTGTGGAAAATTTAGTGATTTCTCAATATTTATCAGAATTAAAAATTTTTTAGATTAAAATGTTCATAAAATTAATTTACGATAGTCTACATATTTATTTTTTTTTAAATTTAATTTAAGAAAAAAAAAAGCCTAAGTTCATTCTTTAATAATCCCGGGCTAAAATTTTAGGCCACAATGTGACAACCCGTTCCAAATTTTACGTTTTGATTTTATTTTAAAAGCGTGAATTTACGAAATTGCCCTAGAGGTAAGGACTTTGACTTCCGTTGACCATCGACTTGAGAGATGTGGGACTTATTCTTTTAGCATATCCTCGTAGTACTCGTTGGTACGAACGTATAGGCGAAAGCCGTTTGCGAGTCCAGATTATAACAGTATAGTTACGGACGTTCGAAATTGGTTATTCAAGGTTTAGTGTTAATTAAATTAAATCCCCACTTTGTAGGGTCAAGCCAAGTCAGAAATGAGGAAAGAAAGAAAAGAAAAAAAAAAGAAAAAGAAGGGAAGTGGCTTTCCCGTCCACCCACACCCACCACAAGTTCCCATTTTCCAAGGCCGATTCCGGCCAACTCCGATGGAGTTTTTCGATGCCACCACCACCATCTTGAAGCTCTCATTCCCCTCTACAAAACCCACCCAAGAACCACCTTGATTAACCATGGTATGTGGTGGTTTGAGGTCACGAAAGTTGACGAAAATCAATAGTGCTCCGGCCACCCTTTTCGATTTTCTAGCAAATCGGCAAAGCGATGGCTGATGCCACCACTTGGGCTTTGTAGCCCATCATCCCAGGAGCAAAACCCAACCAACCTTGACCCCTTTGGACCACCGTAGACGATGAATCGACGTCGGGAAGTTTTAGGCACCCGCCGGCTTTGTGGGCAAAATTGACCATCTTCTGTCCACTTTTGGACTTCGTGTCAGGTATGAAAGTTTCTCCACTCACTGAGATCTTCATTTCTGTGAAGTTTGAGAATTTTTGGAAATAGTTGGATTTTCCGGCGAGTCGGGGCGGCCGACCGCCACCCGCGGCGGCGCGTGGCCAGTGGGCCGCCAATGCTATTTTTAGGCTATGTCGAATGTCTTGAATTCAGTTTTGTTATTTGAATGACATAGGTTGATCGTTGGAGCCTAAATTCGTTACGATACGTTGCTTAATGAAAATGTGAATTGACGATCCGACCGTTGGATCGTCACCAAACTTGGATATATTATAATACATAATATTTAAAGACAATAGAAATTTATGGATCGGGAATCCGACGTACGGATCTTCCCGAATTGAATTTGTAAGTTAGTAAAATAAATGTTCACGTCCACTTGGTTTTGGGAAAATGGCGGAGATCCAACCGTTGGATCATAATGAAATTTTAATATGTTATTCTAGAAACATATTGTGGATCGTTGGGAATTGCATATTGGAAATCTGATATGCAGATCTTCCAAATCGAGCTATACAGGGTTGTAGACCCTACCGTCGATCTTTGATCGACGGTTGACTTTTGGTCAATGGGTCTCAAATTATTCTTAAAGGTCCTTGAGGATATGTTTTATGTAAATTATGTATTCTATCGGTAAAAACTTTGAGACGTGATTTGATAATTGGTCACAGGCGACGACAGATCGTGGTGTCTTGATGTGCGTGCAAGATAATCATAGCGTGGACTCCAGGTGAGTGGGCCTTTTTGTTTCATAGGCATATAATTGATAGTTCCACAAGCACTTCTATAGTGATCTATGCTTGTTACCTACAATTAATCATTTCGAACTACGAATGGCTTGATCCCTGTTTAGGGTATGTAGGCAGTCTAACAAGACGTTAGATGCAGCCATATAATAAATGAGATTAAATAATTGAGACAATTGCCTTATTTAGTGAATTGAGCAATGTGAGGGACATTGGTGGGAATTGTGAGATTTAGCTTTATGATTTGGTGATTAAATGTTGATCATAAATCAATGCGTGAAGAATCAAGAAAATGAAGTAAGGAAAGGTAAGTATGATAGTTAATGTAACTAGGGTCTAATTGGGCTTATCACTAATGATTACCCTCAAAAGTAAATAGTTGGGAGTAGGGTGTTATTAATTGTACATGTTACGCCGTATTATATATATTTTGGGAATATCATGAAATGTTTGGGTTTAGATTGCATCATGGCATATTCATATGGATATTACCTGGACCTGACTATTGTGAATGCTTTGAAGTGCTATATGACGCCGTGAACGCCCAGGTAAGCCTCAGGTGAGTACACGTTGATGTTAGTGATGTTAGTGAGTATGATTGTGTTGAGATATAATATAGCTCATAAACCTGCACCCCGGTGTTAGTGCTCCCGCCCGTGGCCAAGGCACAGTCCTTCACGTGATGTTCACCTCCCGCACCTTACGTTCACCTTGGATCCAAGGTAGGTGCACAGTATTATCGTACAGACCACTTTAGGTGGTTTCGACTCGTAGGTGACCTGCGATTATTCGCACAGTCTTCACGTGATCGTAGCACTTAAGCGTATTTATTTACACCCAGTCTTGTCGTACATACCACTTTAGGTGGTTCCGACTCTTATCGTACAGACCACTTTAGGTGGTTCCGACTCGTGTGCAGGTATACTTATTGAGCTATATGCTAGCCATGATTGATGAGATATGTATAAGTCATACAGGTCACTATAGGTGACTCCGACTTATATGCTAGCCATGATTGATGAGATATGGATAAGTCGTACAGGTCACTATAGGTGACTCCAACTTATATGCTAGCCATTATTGATGAGATATGGATAAGTTGTACATGTCATATTAGATGACTCCGACTAATATATCATTTTGTATTGATTAAGTTCATTTGGCCTACTTATTATTGCATGGTGGAGTTGATGGCAAACCGTGGTTCTGGCCATTTCTGAGTATGGTTTGGACATATGTATATATGTTGTATTGTCTTATGGAAAACGATACGGGTTTTACATTTAGGGGCATTACTTTTAGAGAGGTAATAACTTTGGGAAGCTTGGTTTTATTGCTTACTCACACTCTCTGTTTGGTGCCTCCAGGTTTTAGCTGTTGAGTTTGTATCGACAAGGATTTGTGGCGAATCTTAGTATTGATGGATATTTCTGAGGGTATGATTCTTACCCACACTCCTGTACCTTACTTATGCTCTGACATTGTGCGTGAAATGGGTTCGCTCCCGCTCTCAACGCACTCTGGTATTAAAAAATTTTAGGTTCAAATTATTCACATTTTTCTACACTCTATCACATTTTATGGCTTCGTCACCTTCCAGGTGTCGGCCAGCACAGCTCGATTCAGGGTCCAAGTGGACTTTCTGGGTCGGGGTGTATCACACAACGGTTGGAGCAAAAAAACTAAATTTTTCGGGCTAAAATATTTGACTTTTAGCCCAACCATTGGAGATGGTCTTACAATGCATATACGGCTTATTGCTGGCTTAGTGTTCCTACTATTGTATTTTAATTTAAAAATTCACAACTTTTGTTCCAGATTTTACCATTTCGACTGTATACTCCCCTGAATGAAACAGGTTCAGATCCATATTAGCAGACAACAACCTGGGGTGGTTGCTTTCGTTTTTTTTCTTTATCTTGCTTTGCTTTCAATCCTAATCGTTCAATGATTGATTGTGACGCTATATTTTGTAAATCGAAGACATTGTTTCTGGTCTGTATATTGCAGCAAATCATGATTAATGTAGGACCAAAAATTATTTTAATATGTAGTTTGGAGCTAGATCAATGACTAGCTACCATTTTAACAACACAGAAGAGATCAGAGTAGGGTACACTGAAGATTAAAAAACATATTTATATGGATAGATAAAGAGATATATATATAATCCTCAAATATATTTATCTATATCTCTCACTGATTGGATAACCAACCAAATTAATGTCGTAAAAGCGTTCTAATAAGTTCTTCATCAACATCAGTGATGCCTGCTGAATCCAGGAGTTGAGATAGTCTTTTGCTCAAATCTTCCACCTCCCTATGCAGCCTCTTTATGTAACTGCAAGTTTCTTCCAAAATGCTCGATGCCGATACCTGCGTGAAATTTGAAACCGTCAGAGTGTCATTTGTGATAAAACCCTAAACATAGAACACTAGCGATAGGTCACTTGAGTTAGAAATTGCAAGTATGATTATTTCCCTAAGCCTATACCGGTGCGTTGCGTGAATGATGAAGCTGAGGAAGAAGCGGTTGTAGCTTTAAGACGAGCTCCTTAATCTCATCATCTAAGGGTTTAGAAGCTCTTGATGATGATGATGATGATCTTCTGCTTGACATTGCTGGTTGAAGAAGCACTCTTGCTTTTTTTATTTTCTGCTTATAGCTTTTAGCTTCTTCGCACTATCAAATAGTGGGGGGGAAGTTTTAAGTACGAGACCAAAGCTTCTTAAAAAGAGAGTGGGAAAGTGGGTGGAGACACAAATCTTTTTAGTTAGAATAAGACACCAACGATGTTGATTGTTCTTGAGGCCCCATTGTACTTACTTCTGGGTTAAAAATTTCATCAAGATAGCCAAACACCTTTACTTGGTTTTTTTAACTGAAAACGTAACTTTAGCCCTTGAAATTCAAGTTTCTTCACATAAAACCCGACATAGTATTTTTACTTGAATAAAACCCAATTATTAGGCTCCACATTAGCAAATTCATTAATTTTGTTTGACCATACACATTTTTTATTTTTCAGATGACTAAAATACCCCTAATTACAATTTTAATGTATACATTTAATTCTATGCAGATTTGAAGGGAGGGAGTAATGAAAAAAATGCATTAATGTTTAAATTCATTGCATATTAATAATAAAATAATCTCAGTATATGTAATAATACATGCAAAATAATTTACCTACAAAATAAAAGAATGTTATTTGATTGAAAATTAATTTATCTACATTTTATATGTAATAATGCATGTAAAATAATTTACTTACAAAATAAGGAATGTAAGTTGATTAAAAAATAATATATCTACTACTTTTTGTTTATGAATTTCAATTTACCTACAAAATAAAGAAATGTAATTTGATTGCAAAAAAAATAATATATCTACTACTTTTTGTTTATGAATTTCAATTTTCTTTTCTTTTTTTAGAAACATAATATACCTACAATATTGTTTAATTCTTATAAAAAATTAATTTACTTATATTTTACATATAAATATAGATAAATTATTTTTAACACACATATATAATAACAAATAAAAAAATGGCTAATGTATGTAATAATCTGTGTAAAATAATTTATTTACAAAATAAAAGAATATTAATAGATTCTTTTTTTTTTATTATCAAACAATATTATTTGATGCAAAATAATTGATCGTACAAAGGATTCCTTTTTTTGTTTTTTTTTTTTTGTCATACGAAAAATGTGCCTATAAGTTTTTATGAATATGGGTAAATTAATATATATATATATATATATATATATATATGTGTGTGTGTGTTAATAATATTTATGAAACAAAAAAGGTAAAATTTCCATATGGGGTTAATTGCTAATCATAATTAGGGTGAGTAATAATATTTATTAACATAATTAGGGTTTTATAGCATAAGTTGTAAATATGTTGTAATAATTGGTTATATATTTGTCTACATGGTAGTCTATTTGAAATTTGGGTTTTATTTGAATGTTTAATATTAGGTGGGTTTTTGTTTTGGAAAATAGGAGTTTGAAGGATATTTCTCTAAATAACCTTTTTTTAATTAGAGCATAACACGTACCCTCATTTGGACACGTGGCCTGTTTTACTCAGCTAGTCACTGCTTAATGTTAGATGTTACATGCTACCAAAAGATACTTTGTCCTTGTATGCATGATTAAGGTCGATGGGATTTCTTTGTTTGGTGCATTGCCCTTCTCTTTAATTGTTTTATTTTGTTTTTAATTGTTTTTTTTTTTATTCTTGCCTTCCTTTTGTCTACTGAAAACACTTTGTTTAATTTGGTTTTGAAGTTGGAAACTATTGTGGAGAAAACGCTTCTGAAATGAGGGTTTCTGAAAACTATTTTAATGAGTAAGTTGGTTAAACATCACACAACTGCGATGCTCTTCATGTTTTTAGTTCAGAAAAAAACAAAAACATTGAAAAATAAAGGTCGTAAAATAAACATTTATGTCGAGTACTCTTACACTTGTTGGGAGACCAAAAACTGTAACCCCAAAGCATAGTGTTAGCCCACACACATGCTAAGGAATAACTAATATGAAAGCAAACGTTTGGTAGACATGATTAGTTTCTTTTATTAAACATGATTTGATGTTACGTCGGGCTTGTAGCTTTAGTGGTAGAACATTATACTTAAGCATTCACGTAAAATTGCAGTCTCCTCCTCCTCCAATGCTAGAAAATGATCATAAATATTTCACGTAGAAATATGAGCCAATAAATCGTAGTAGATGAGCTATTGTGATTCAATAGTGCAACATTGTAGCAAATCTTATTCAATATTCTCAAACAAACCTATATAATTCGCAATGTTTTTTGTCTCTCTCTCTCTCTCTCTCTCTCTCTCTCTATTATCATGATTATTGATATGATGAGCAATTTTTTCAATTTAGGAACGATCAAATCAGCCGGACCATATGCTGTCCAATCACAGTGTTTTCCCATTCTTTTCTTTTTTCTCTTGAAGGAAACGTCATACCGTAACCCAAAGTTCAACAGTATTTGAAGTCTAAAACTCTAAATTCAGTGAATGGTGAGCCTATTTTAACTGTGATTATGTGGTAGATAGATCAAGAAAATAGTGAATGGTAGGTAACTTTGTTAGAATTTACGCACCGACCAAACTAACTCTAGGGAAAATAAGATTTCTAAGAACAGTACTATTTGGAATCAGAATGGTGATTTGTAAAGGCATTGGAACGAGGGTTACAAGAATGTACATGCAATATGTGATAGGTATGTTCTTCTCGCGAAGCCGGTGTGCAAATTAAACAAAATATGGGAGCGATGAGGGGGAAGGGTTGATGTGACAAAGCAAGCACAAGTTGGGAGTGACTGTACTAAACAGCCCTGCTTATGAAGGCGCCACCTGAGGTGGTGAGGAATTGGGATGGACAATGCCAATAAATTGCTCTTTGGCCTTATTTACCAACCCTACTCAATTTGGACCCTAAATTTCCGGTACCCGAAACTCAGTGTACTCTGTCCCAAGGCTTACATGTTCTGCATCGTCCACGTGGCTCTTCCGTGTAGCAATCATGACGATTGCCCTGGTAAAGTGATCACTGAGTCACTGAGTCTCTCTCACTCTGGGACCCCTCTTGTCTTCTTCTCCAAGGTGTTGCCTTTATCCTATGCATTGTATAGGGCGGGGCCAACATGCAGGACTGGTTAATTGTAGCCTGGAGAAGATACAGCGCAGTAGAATGTCCTTCGAGGATTCGAGGTAGAACAGTAAAAAACACAATAGGACTAGTAACCCTAATGCATGCGAAGTAATTCCAGTTCTGGTTAGGGCATACGTCCTAAACGTCAGACTTTAACAAGTTATCTAGTTTTTTCTTTTTACCTAAACTTTGGAAACTTATGATTTTGGCCATCTTTTTGCATGCAAATGACTTACATGGAATGAATAAAAGGTCAAACATGTATTTATAAGGTGATGTTATTCACACACTTCTTTTTACCTTTCATACACATTCTGTAAATTTCTATTATTTGATCTTCTTCACTTCATTCGATTCGACTGTCAGAAATTTAAAAGGTGGAAGGTAAAATGGGGTGTGTGTGGATAGCACCACCTTATATATAATCCACATAAACACTCAATAGAGGTCCATACATGTAGTGCTTGAAATATCCATTGTCGCTATTTCTGTTGAAATATCCAAAAAATCAAATATCAATATGGAAAGGGAGTGTAAAATGCAAACTTCACCCTATATCGGCGAGATATAGGAAAATTGGTGAATATCGACGATATTTACCGATTCAATACAGATATTTTGCCGGAACCCGTTGCATATTTCTAACTTTTGAATTTTATTTGAGAAAATTTTCTCTAATTTCAACTAAATTTGACTGAGTTGACATAACCATCCATTGCAAATTTCCATAATTTATGTCAAAGACAACCGACATCGATATATCCAGCTATATTTCTCTAAATTTGCATATTGATATTTCTACCTATATCGATATTTTAAACACAGCATTTATGACACAGTAAGTTAAATGTTTATAAAACCCTAATTGTTCTCCAACATCTTTGTCCGTTATTTCATTTCTTAATTATTCAATTCGAAGTCAGAGATAAACACGAGTTTGTAAATACAGTGTCCTGGGGTGGATCATAGTATATGATAGGGTGAGGAAACTGTAAATTGTAACTCCTTGACATGTGAGAAAACCCACATACTCTGATTCAAATAAAGGGTCGAACATTTATATACTGACCAGAAATTTCAACTTGAAGCTTGACATATCGCTTCAGATTCACCCTATATATGTGTAGGGATGAAATTAATCATCCTACCTGCCATCACATATCGTTTTCTTGTCTGGCCTCTTCATATATATGACTGCGACTCGACCCCAGTAATATAAGTGCCCAACAGTGGTCCATGCTTGAAAGACCACTGTAGTAACAGCAGTCTACTTGTACTAGTGGACACTGTAGCTTCTGCGTAGCTACGACTCTCAAGTTCCAGAGAGATCTGCATATGGAAAACGCAATTCATGCAAAAGATTTGGTGGAGATTGCATGGCCACACTTTATAATTTTACATCATGCTATGTAACCTAAATTATTGTATTGGTTTCTTCTTGTGTATTCTCAAAACTTGAGGTGGTTAAAATATGCAACCGAGTTAGGCCTCCCAAACAGGTTGAGTTTGTTGTTTCGTGTCATATTGTTGTCGTAACGGATTGTGTCGTGTCAAATATATGATCTTAACGAGTTCTGAAGAGGTGACCCAAAAGCGACCAAATTATTAACGCATTGTATCGTTTCTTGTCGGATTGATAGGTTATGCAAGAAATTGTCATGCCCAATGTCTAAATCTAGCAAACAATATCTTATTGGGTGACCCGATAACCACCCAACTTGCTGACGGATTTTTAACAAGTGAACCGATAACTACTCGAATCGTTAACAGGTTGATCCGAAACCTGCTATTTTTACATTGTCTAGCATCGAGGTTAATGAGTTGTGCAAGAAATTGTGAAGCTTAAATTGAGCCTATAACATTCATGATTAGCTGGGATCTGATACCAATTCACGGCCGAATATTTCTTTCAATGTTACTAACATTTCGGTCACATATTAACATAACAAAAGTACTGTGAATTGATACATCCTACCAAACAATTTTTTCCCTTTATCTTTTTAGCTTAGTATCTAGCTTCTAGATTAGGGAACAGGGTAATATCAAGGCTGAATGTCCATCTTTTTCAGTGTCCTGAAAGATGCCAACAGCGTTCACCTTGCACCCATATGCATTGCTACACTCCATATTATGTCAAGTTAACTTCAACTCCAAGTACCTACTAACAACATCAACCTCCTACTCTTTGTCGTTAGTGGCAGTTAAATTTCCAGTTTCCGATCCATGTGATGAGAAAAGGATGACAGAAGAAGAGTTAACAATATGACCCAATACCTTCCCGAACATACAAACGAACACCGGCGTGAATTGCGCCAAGAAAGAAAAGAAAAAAGAGAAATGACTGTTAGACCAAGTCCGAGTCTGGTGGTGGTTTCCTCAAATTCAGGAGGTTGTGATCAACCTAAACTCTTATCCAAGAAGAGTTAGATTAGTTCAAACTTCTTTTCAAATGTTAGTTGTTTTCCGTAATACGCTTTGTAGTTTATGTTGTAATTTTGAATTTGAAATAGCCTTGTAAATAGGGATTTCAATCCCTGATGTAATCTGAACGTGAATATAAATACATGCAGCCTCTCTCTGAAAGTGCATGAAAATTGAAGTAAAACCTTGAGAGTTCTTAAGTTTTACATGGTATACGAGCCCTAGCAGTCTAACGACTTAGATCCTGAATTTTTTTTTTTTCCATGGCTGATACCACAAACGGCGCTGCAACCTCCACCAACTCTCTTTCAAACCCTACCATGAATCTTTTCTCCTCCATGACTACGGTTGTCAACATCAAACTGGATCGAACCAACTATCCGGCTCAGATCCTTCCAATCCTCAAGAGTCGTAACCTGATGGGATATGTTGATGGGTCCATCGTATGTCCACCCAAACATCTTCCTGGTGCTGCTGCTATCAACCCCGCCTACACAACCTGGGTGCAGCATGATCAACTGATACTAAGCTGGATCAATAGCTCTCTCACGCCCTCTGTGTTGTCCGTCGTCGCCAGCAAGAGGTCCTCTCATGACACCTGGGAGGCTCTCGAGCAACGGTATGCTTCTACGTCCCAAAATCGTATTTTGTTTCTTCGCAATGAACTGATGCAAACTAAGAAAGGAGACATGTCTATTGCTGATTATCTTGATCGAATGAACTCGATTGCTGATAACCTTGCCCTAGCTGGCAACCCCGTGAATGATGATGAACTTGTCCAGATTATCTTGAACAATTTGGGCCCTGCCTATGAAATGACAGTGAGTGCTGCTCAAGCACGTGATACTCCAATCGCGTACCCTACACTTGAGGCTTTCCTACTAACTACCGAGAGACGCATGGCTGCACAGAATGCTCAGCCTGTGGAGGCTGCTGCGGTGAATGCTTTTGTCACTACCAGAGGTCGTGGTGGACGACTTCGTGGAAATGGACGTGGTGCTTTTCAGTCCGCACGTGGTGGTGGTGCGGTTAACCCGCGGGGGTTCTTTCCTCGCAACAATAATCAAAGGCCAAACTCAGCCTGCAATGGTGAGAAAATTACTAACACAGGAGAACGACTCACATGCCAGATATGTGGAAAACAAGGGCATCCTGCCCTAGATTGCTATCAAAGAATGAATGCAGCCTATGAAGGGAGAATTCCAGCAAAACAGCTTACTGCCATGGCAACATCTTCGGTTCCTCTCAATCGGCAGAATAATGGACAGTGGCTTTTGGACACCGGTGCTAATGCTCATGTGACTCCAGACATCCAGAATTTGGTAAACCCACAAGAGTATAATGGTAATCAGAATGTGGGTGGTGTAGGTAATGATACTGGCCTCTCTATCTCTCATATGGGTTCGAATCAACTACAAACACAATCTTGCTCATTTAAATTGCAAAATATTTTAAGATGCCCCACTGCCTCAACCAACATTATTTCTGCACACCGTTTTACCCTAGAAAATAATTGCTATTTACTCATCTTTCCTCATTTTTTTCTTGTTAAGGACCTCAAGACCCGGAAGACGCTTTTCCACGGGCGATGTGAGAATGGCTTATACCCATTTTTTGGTGGCGGTGGACAGTTCCATAACCCTATTTCAGTGTGTCTAGGCATTCGAGTCTCGGCTCAAAAATGGCATTCACGTCTTGGTCATCTTGCGTCGTCTCTTATCAAGTTTTTAATTTCCAATAAACAAGTACCAATTCATGGTACTGCTGATGTAATGTTTTGTCAGTCGTGTCCTTTAGGAAAAAGTACTAAGTTACCGTTTAGTACTTCAGAGTCTGTTTCCCAATTTCCCTTACAACTTTTACATTCCGATGTTTGGTGTTCTCCAGTTATTTCAATTAAAGGTTTTTGATATTATGTTTTGTTTGTGGATGATTATTCTAGGTACTCTTGGATTTTTCCCATGAAAAATAAGTCTGAAGTGTTTGAAATATTTGTTCAATTTAAAGCTAAGGTCGAAAATCTGTTTAATACTTCAATAAAAACCCTTCAATGTGATGAAGGAGGTGAGTACAAAAGTAGAGGTTTTCAACAATTTCTTGCAACAAATGGAATTTCTCAAAGGTTTTCGTGTCCAAAACACCCCGAGCAAAATGGCCTAGTAGAAAGAAAACATCGACATATTGTTGAAACGAGTATTGTCTTGCTTTCTCACTCTCACCTTCCAAACAAATATTGGTTTGATGCATGTTCAACAGCAACTTATTTAATTAATCGATTGCCAACTCGAGTTTTGTCCCATAACTCGCCCTATGAGACATTATTTGAAAAACCTCCAAACTATGAGACCTTAAAGGTGTTTGGTTGTAAGTGTTTTCCTTGGCTTGTTCCTTATGCACAAAATAAACTTCAACCCAAGTCAAAACCGTGTGCATTTTTAGGATACTCATTGAATCATCAAGGGTATAAATGTTTGGACCTGTCCACGAGACGAATTTATTTGTCTCGCCATGTTCTATTCGATGAGGACTCATTTCCATTTAAGGAACTCACATCCTTGCGGGAAAACGTTGATAACACAGGTAGTTTTGCTTCTCCTGATCTTTTGTTCACATTTCCTATACTTTTGTCAGATACTTCCACCACTTTGCTGAACCCTACCCATCCTTTAGAGTCCCAATCCCAGCCAAACATAACCACGACCAACCCGTAAAATCCTCAACACCATACCATTCCCCACAATCCCATGTTATCCGATCCTTCCAACCCGCAAACCACCTTATCTCTCCCTGACCCTAGTTCCACGAACCAAAATTTAAATGAGCAAGCCCCAGTTGTTGCATCACCCACACCTCAGTCTCTGCCACCTTCAGACCACGATCTTGCTTCAATAAGGCCGCGCATGACGACTCGATCACAGTCTGGAATACAAAAACCTAATCCTAAATATGCTATGCATGTCTCTACTGATCTTTCTTTAGTTGAACCAACCTGTTTCAGTCAGGCAGTCAAGCACCACAAATGGAGGGAGGCCATGGTTCACGAATTTAATGCACTGCAGCGATGTGGCACATGGGAGCTTGTTCCTTATCATTCACAAATGAATGTGCTGCCAAACAAATGGGTCTTTAAGATCAAACGACGGGCGGATGGCTCTGTAGAGAGGCACAAGGCGAGGTTAGTCGCCAATGGGTTTCATCAACAGCCTGGTCTTGATTACACCGAGACCTTTAGTCCTATGGTCAAGCACAGCACCATACGACTGGTTCTTAGTTTGGCAGTTTCAAAAAAATGGCATATCAGGCAATTGGATGTACAAAATGCTTTCTTGCATGGCTTTCTGAAGGAAGAAGTATATATACGACAACCTGCAGGTTTCATTGATGAGCAGCATCCAACACATGTCTGCAAATTGCAAAGGAGTATATACGGATTGAAACAAGCTCCGAGAGCTTGGTTTCAACGCTTTTCAGAGTTTTTTCTTTAATTAGGGTTTCAAGCATCCACGTGTGATTACATTTTATTTGTTTTCAATCACTCTGGTGTCTACTTGATTTTATTGATCTATGTAGATGATATATTGTTGACAGGGAACAGTACTCGCCACATGTCTAGCTTGATACGTAAACTGGGAACTTTGTTTTCAATGAAGGACTTGGGGCCTCTTCATTACTTTCTGGGTGTCGAAGTAACCTATTGTGGTGATCAAATGCATTTGAATCAGGCCAAGTATGTTGTGGACTTGCTTCAGCGTACAAAGTTTTTGGATGTTAAACCAATTTCCACTCCAGTTTATTGCGGACAGAAACTCAGTGCTTACCATGGTGAGCCACATGATAATTCTGAGATGTATCAAAGTGTTGTTGGAGCACTTCAGTATTTAACTATCACGAGACCAGACCTCTCTTATGCAGTAAACCAGGTATGTCAGTTCATGCACTCTCCAAAGAATACTCACTGGATGGCAGTTAAGCGGATCCTTCGATATGTTAAAGCTACATACAATCATGGTCTTGTGTATAAACCTGGTACTGCACACCTTACAGCGTATTCTGATGCTGATTACGCTGGGAATCCTGATACACAGCATTCCACATGTGGCTTTTGCATTTACTTAGGGTCCAATCTCGTGTCTTGGAGTTCTAAAAAGCAGAAAACTGTCAGTAGGTCAAGTTCAGAAGCTGAATATAGGCAGCTTGCTTATACTGCTGCAGAAGTATCATGGTTCCGGTCTTTATTTCGTGACCTACACTTGCATCTTGATCGACCAACAATCTGGTGTGACAATGTTTCCTCCATTGCCCTTGCTTCAAATCCAGTTTTTCACTCCCGTACAAAGCACTTGGAGGTGGATTATCATTATGTTCGTGAGAAAGTGGTTCGTCAAGAGTTATTTGTGAATTTCATATGTTCTCAAGACCAGATTGCTGATCTTTTTACAAAAGGATTGTCCTCTTCACGGTTCAAGCATCTTGTTTCCAAGCTTCCAGTTGTTTCTCCTCCTGTCAGCTTGCGGGGGGCTGTTAGACCAAGTCCGAGTCTGGTGGTGGTTTCCTCAAATTCAGGAGGTTGTGATCAACCTAAACTCTTATCCAAGAAGAGTTAGATTAGTTCAAACTTCTTTTCGAATGTTAGTTGTTTTCCGTAATACGCTTTGTAGTTTCTGTTGTAATTTTGAATTTGAAATAGCCTTGTAAATAGGGATTTCAATCCCTGATGTAATCTGAACGTGAATATAAATACATGCAGCCTCTCTCTGAAAGTGCATGAAAATTGAAGTAAAACCTTGAGAGTTCTTAAGTTTTACAATGACAACATAATTATGAGAATATGACATTTCAATTCGAACTCTAACAAACTATGAAGTCAAGCATTCTGAAAATACTTCAACTTGAAAGCTTCATGATCTTAAGTATGAAGGAAAAACCCTTCACCATCACATCATGATCTTAATCATCATTTATAGTTTCTACTTGCAGAAAATTTCCAATCGTTTCTGCTGCGAGTTTTGACGAGTCAATTTTATATTATATTTAATCCTATTCTTGGTTAGATTTTATATGTTTTTGGAAGAATTTTGATACTTTTTTTTTATGTTTTGATTGTAGGTTCGTAGAATCTACTTTGCTTAAAAAAAGTGACAAAACGATGAAATCTTGGAGTGATTCCAATTGGAGCTGATTCTTTAAAGAGTGAAGATGATTGTGTCAAAATTTTAACTTTAAATTCCAAGCCGTTTGATCATGACAATTAATGAAGGCATATATGTAGTGTTGCCAGATTGACGGTTTGGGCTTGTTTGGGCCATAAGTAATTGAAGATGACGTTTTTCGAAGAAAATTTCTTTTCCAAAGTTGAAGGGGACGTCCTAAGCTTTCCAATGCTACCTTGCAAGCCTAATTCGGTGCTGTTTTTTGTCAGTCAATGGGTTGACTTTAATTGCTGATCAGTTTACCAAATTCTAATAGGAATGTGTTTTCTAATTATATTATTTCAAGGTATGATTCAGATTCTAGGTTTATCTATATGTTGAGTTTGGAGCCCTAGAGAGCCAGAACGTTCGTCGAATATAGAAAGAGAGCTTTTGGTGATCTATAACTTTGTTTTACAAGGATGTTTTCTATCTTTTCTTAATAATATTTTTGGCATTCAATTATGATTATGTGTAACTAATTTTCTTTGCTAGAACGAGGCCACAAGCCTTAGCATGAATATGTAGTTATGCATGCTTGCTTTGAATTTTCAATCGCTGATTTTAAACTATCTATATATCTTGATGCTTGATCACCATTATGATGTGTAGATAAGTAATTGGATGCAATTTTTGTTGGAATGTCACCCTAAAATTGGTTAATGCTTCTTGTTGTTGGAAATTGACTTAAGGCGGCTCTTAAGGGTTGCATGGTTTTTCAAAGAGTTTTCACAAAACTTAATGAGTCTTGCATGTTTATTTGATCTGAAGGTCACAAACGGATTGCAACTAGATATGCATTCCAGCTTAAATGCCACAAGTAGAAAATGCATTAGTAAACCTAACATTCAAAGCTTGTATTTGTTAATTCATAAGTAAATAATAGGACTACAAAAATTGTTAATAGTCATAGCTAAACCCTAGTGCTTCTCACACTTGATTTTTTTTCTTAAAACGTTTGCATTCTTATTTTTAGGGTGACTTTGGATGCGGTCCCTATTTATTAATGTTCTTTGATTGAAACCTTGTTGGTTCTCGATTTTGAATTGAAGTCCCTAAAATTAATGCAATAATGCATTTCTATGTAGGTTATTATAATTTTAATTTAAAATTTGATATTTGTAGTTATTTATATTAATGAGATTTTAAATAAAATTCATAATTTGTTGAAAATATTAAAAGAAATTATACTTTAAATAAAACCCATGATTTGTCATTACTTATATTAATGACATTTTATATACAAAAAATTGGTAATTTTTATACGATGCATTTACAAAAAGTTTTTACATTTTATTCAAAAAAAGGTGATACGTTTTATATAATGGGTACCTTTCATATAAAAAAAAATAATGGGTACATTTTACACAAAAGAGATGGTACTTACAAAAATAACAAAATGGTACCTTTTTAAAGACAAATGAGTACACTATTAATAAATTATAGGTACAAATAAAAAGTCAAAAAAATATGAGTACAAATAAAAGTTTGAAAAATAGGGACACAAAAAGAAATTAATATATGGGGTACAAACTAAAATGAATAGAAAATTGGCACAATTTAAAAAAAAAGGTAGCAAATTAAAATGAGTACAAACTAAAAATAAAAATATATGACACAAAATTTAGCCATAAATATAAATATATCAAATGTAACGTTCTAACACTAAATGAATAATTTAGAAATAAAATTTAATTATCTTGATATGTAAAATATTTTATTATTG